ATTCTCATTAAGAATTATTTTTCTTTAAGAGAAAAAGAAAGGGAGAAACTTGGGGCGATTTACTTAAAAGTGATTTTCTAGAGAGAGAAAGGGAGAAACATGTGGCATCTTACGGAATTTTTACCTCCTATAGAAAAGGTTAATAACTTATTTATTTTAAATAAATACCATTTTAAAAAATTATATTCTATAGATACCTTTTAAGGTTTATAGCAAAATATTTAATTTTGGTTACCTCCTAGCTCTAAGCCACTAATTACGTTATTCAGTTATACTATTTTATTTCTCTCTCTACTTTGATACATCCCATTCTCTTCCCCCATTCTCTGAAAATACGATGCTCAATCTCAAAATTCCTCTCACCCACACTATTTTCTTTTCATTCCGATCAATTTCTTGCACCAAATATTTGAATTGCGATTTCTCTGTCATCAATACACTCTCTCTGAAGTTTCAAAACCACTTGAGTTTACTATGTATTCAAATGTTAATATGTTTATCTCTTTGTTCATTCTTCATCTGTTGGTTGCTGCCAGTGTTAGAGGACACGAGATCAAGAAAGGAGATTTCTCTGTTAAGGTCACTAAAAGCAAATCAAAATGCATATGTTTCGCCGGATTCACCGAAATAAGAAAATAAGAAGACGCGTGTTGTACCTTCAAATCTCAAAGGTGTCGCGTGTTGTACCTTCAAATCTCAAAGGTGTCGCGTGTTGTACCTTCAAACGTTGCTACAGCGGATTCGCCGGAAATTAGGGTTTGTTCTTGAACAAAGACGACGTAGTTTGAAGATGAGCAACTTATTTTCTGTTAATATATTTCAATGTATTATCATGTATTTCATTGTATTCATTGTCTTTTTTTTTATTGTAATTCAATGTATCTCGTTGTATCCCATGTATTTCATTGTATTCACTGTCTTTTTTTTATTGTATTTCAATGTATCCCGTTGTATTCTATGTATTTCATTGTATTCACTGTCTCGCTATATGCCATGAATGTATTCATATATATTTTTTTAATTAATATAATTTATGTATTCAGATGTATTATATAATTTCTCTGAAGATTGCTATGTTTTTGGGGTATTTTTCGGTTGAGAATCTTTTTTATAACTGAAATTACAAAATTTGTGTGTTATAATTGAGTTTGTTGAGTTATATTAGGAGTCTATTATGTTAATTGATTAACTTTCTGTTTTAAAAACAGTGTAATCCCCTGTTTCACGCCGTGAATACAGTCGAATACAATAATCTGTCCAGCTGTAATCCCATGTTTCACTCCATGAATACAGTTGAATATACTCGAATACAACAACTGATTAGCTGGACTTCCCTGATTCACGCCTATTTTTGCTACTGTATTAATGAATACAATAGCTTAAATACATCAAATACATCTTATAACCACGGAAAATGTATCTATAATCCGTAATATAACAAATGGTATCTATAGATAGCTAATTACTACTAAAAGATAATGCTTTATGAAAGTTTTTCTTTTCTTACCATCAAAGTATGTGGTGCAGTGGATGAGACTGCTCTTCCGTTAACCAGAGTTATCGAGTTCGAGTCATACTTGGTAGGGAGCGCTTCCACCGAACGAGGCCCTACGCGGCGCAAATCCGAATATAGTCGGGCTCCAATTCGGATATAGTCGGGCTTCAATACGGGCAGCGAATTCATGTTTAATTTTACTTTAATTAATTTTTTAACATAAAGTCCCCAATGAGAAAAATAAGCTGCATACATCTTTCTTTTCCCCAACCGAAACTCAGCTAGAGCATCTTCGAATGGGACATCTATTAGCCTCGCCGCCGGTGGCATTTCGGCCTGCCGGCGGTAACTTTGTGCGGTTAACTTCAAGGATTCAGGCATTATCGGTGGAGGAAATTCTCCCAAATGCCATACGGCGAAAGCGAGATTCAACATGGAGAGGAGGTTTCAGTCTTGGGGTGGATTTGGGGCTTGCCCGTACTGGCCTTGCTATTAGCAAAGGCTTCAATTTTCGACCCTTAACGGTAACATACCCAATTTTCATCCGCAAACCAAGATGGCACATACATTCGTATACTGGAATTTTGATTCGGATTGGATTTTTAGGTTCTGGAATTGAGAGGACAAAAGCTTGAACTTCGAATTCTTGATATTGCCCTAAAACAGGTAAAGACACTGCTTTTTTACGTTTAACGTAGAAAGATTTAATTTTTATGGTAAATTATCAACTGGGTATTGATAATTTGTTTGATTCTTGAATATGTGTTTAGTGTTTCTTTCATTTTAATTTTTTAAGAATTAATGCCAGCATTTTGGAGTTTCATGAGACTGTGGTTCTGTTTGGGGAAGTTAGGAAGTGGATGAGTTTATAATTGGACTTCCTTTGTCAAGTGATGGAAGGGAAACTCCACAATCTAATAAAGTTCGAAGTGTTGCTGGTAGGCTTGCTGTTCGAGCTGCTGAGAGGTACTACTAATTATTTATGTAGCATTTTTAATCTGCATTTTACCTATTCAATTCATCTCAGAAACACTACTGTTGTCATTGCCTTTACTTTTTATTTTTTTGATGAAGTAATGAGTTCTATAGAAAATGGCATCAAGAAGATGCAAGAAGTACAAGAGGGGGAAAGAGTCAGCTTTGATACAAACAAGAAAAGAAATACTAGGCTAAAGCAAAAGAGCTGACAAAATCCAAAAAGTTAATATGGTAATCTACAGGGGCTAAATACTGCCAACTAAATAACCAAAGGAGACATCTAGCTTTAAGTGTGTGTGTGTGTTGGAGTTGATATCCCATCAAAACATCTGCGATTCCTTTCTGTCCAGACACACCAAAAGATACAAGCAGGGATCATCTGCCCGACTTTCCTGATGACTCTATCAACTTTCCAACCAGACCAGCATTCATAGACTTCTCTGATGCTTTGTGGCATGACCCAACTGAGACCAAAGATAGAAAGAAACATGCACCGTATGTTTGAGGCAACTGAGCAATGTAGCAAAAGGTGTCTGTCGGAATGTTGCCGGCATATGAAACATCTGTTAACAATTGGCATACCTCTTCTGTTAAGGTTGTCCTGTGTTAAACAAGATTCATTAAGGGCTATCCAGCTGAAGCAAATGATCTTTGGGGGAAGACTTGTCTTCCAGATGTACTTCCAAGGCCATCTATCAATGATTTCATTAGTTGAGCATAAATGAGAGTAACCTTCTTTCACTGAGTAGAGGCCATCCATCCACTTAATATTGTCAGCAATGTTGTGTTTGACTGAGTATCCCTCTAATTTAGCCAGGAGACTCAACAGCTGTGGAATTTCCCAGTCTTGGAAGTCCCTTCTGAATTGGATTTGCCAGCAATTGTCTTGTCTTGCCTTTACTTTTTATCAACTGTAATCTTATGGAAATCCTGATGGTTATGTGTCAAGTTGCGTGAAAACGGAAAAAAGGGAAGCATCTTGCGTTCACGTAGGGATCATGAAAATGAATATTCAAGAAAATTCTTGTGGGAGTTTAATGGTTGAACTGTCCAGAGACATGTTTGCTTGTTATGCTTTACACTCTAGGGCTACTAGTTGACTTCCTATTTTCAGAAACCTTTGAGCTAGTATGCTTTTGTGTTACAAATTAAAAGGGCAACCCGGTGCACTAAGCTCCTGCTATGTGCAGGGTCCGGGGAAGGGCCGGACCACAGGGGTCTATTGTATGCAGCCTTACCCTGCACTTCTGCAAGAGGTTGTTTCCATGGCTTGAACCTCGTGACTTCCTGGTCACATAACAGAAACTTTACCGGTTACGCCAAGGCTCCCCTTCAGCTTACAAATTATCGATGCTAAATACATCTGTTGTAGTCATTCTCTTATGTCATGTTTAAATGTAATTTAAAAGTGGTGAGTGAGGGGCGTTCTGTAGTGATCTGGCGTCTTCTACGCTGTCTTGGAGACCTTTGTTCATAAAAACCTTACTTGTGATTAGGGGCTGGAGAGTATATCTGCAGGAAGAGTATGGAACAACAATAGAGGCCATGAGCTACATGGTTGATAGGTAATGGTTTCCTCTGACTTGTCACTGTATTTATCGAATGAGTTATGACGAAGAAAGTATCACTTTCATAAAATCAAGTTTCAATTCATTCTCTTATGCCAATTAAGATCTAGGCTATGCAATCTACAAAGCTTTTATACCTGTCTTGCTAATAAATTGATTGTCAAGTTATATGTGAAGCTAGGTTAATCCTTCATACAGTCTGTTACAAGAAGTAATCCAAAAATAAATAGCGTGACAATGTTGTAGGGGCCTCGGAAAATCTGCTCGTGAAGGGAAACAGGATGCCTATGCTGCTGCTGTATGTGTTCAGTTGAATTCATCCGTCTTTTGTTGTACTTCCCCTAACATGTTTTGTACATAGACTGAAAGTAGTAAACCTAAGATTAGGATTTGAGCTTTGTTGTATTGCAGATGGTGCTTGAGAGATACTTTTCAGAGTCAGGTCGGAGAATCGAGCTAGTGTTACCCAAGCAGTTGGACCTCCAAGAGAAGCTCAAGAAGGGGTGTACTGAAGATGCTGATTATTTTACAGATGAATCTGATTAGGTGTTAATGGTATACTTTGATTGTGATAACTCTAGTCACTAGAATAGTACTTATATTATACCTTTAGAAGACATGGATGATTTACCCTTTTTTGTTTGATAAATATCTTCCTCCTGTAAATCATATTCGGGAGAAAGGAAGCCATGTATCTTGCTTTCCTTGTTGAGGAATTTCTACTATCTGAGATGAAAAAATTAAATTAAGTAAAAGTGGACAAATAAGAATGCAATCTGGAGGTGTATGTTATTCTTTAAAAACGTTTGAAAGAATGTATCTGATAACGTCCCTATTCAATTCTTGGAAAAACTAGAACAAATAGTTGGTAAGAAATCAAATAGGAAAATGAGCTCAAGGCGAGTGAGAAAAATGGACACAAATATAAGTTGAACATCTCATACCTAAAAGAGTTAAAATATCTAATTATTGTTCTATACGATTTATTTGAATGAGTACTGGTAATTTAATACTCACCAAGTAATTATTAGATTATTTGTCAATGAACACAACAAAAGTACAACAATGGCAACTAATGCCTCAATGTCAAACTAGTTGAGCTCGACTATATAAATCTTTTAAGTCTATTCCCTTCAAGTTGTACTCATCTGAGTCCAAACAGAATACCAAGAATTCCAATCTTAAGCTTTAAGAGGACCAGCTCAGCTTAATTGTTATCATCATCACAACCTGACAAAGACAATAAAATTAATATGTACATACAGAAATTTCTCTCCTTCATTGATATTTAATCCGATCATGCATAAATGAAGGATCCCCTTCTTGCACCTGCATTGCCACAAAGTGAGACCACTTTAAAACTCTATTATTTGTGATCTTCTAAACTGAAATATATGTGAAACAAAAACAAGGAAGGAAAATTAGGAAATGGACTCTTAATATCACACAGGGAGGTGGCCCCAGGAGGAGAGGAGGGGAATAAAAAACGAAGACAAGAGGAAAAGAATAAAACAGTGAAAGAAAGAATACTCTATGGAGCCAGCAGACAATGCATTCCTACCCATAAATCAGAAGGCCAAGTTGTCTTTGCAAGCTCAGCTGTATAATGGGTTTATGCAAATCTCTTTCTTTCCAATGAAGTGGATCACCAGTCTCAGCTCCAGATTCTGTTCGACATCAATCAACATGATTATTAGTTAACATAAGCCTTAATTATACCGCTGGTCTAAACTAGGAGTACAATGACTGACATCGATTATGATAAGAGTCACCTTAACATGGCTATGCAAAGTACTTTAGATAGGATGAAATCATATGACATGGTTCAGCACTTCAGCCTACAGCCCCATGAGTATTTATCTAATACAAGTACCAATCTAGTAACCAAAAGAGTGCATTAGCATGATTCAGAATATAAGAACAATTCAGGCCTAAGACTCCCTTTATGGGCTCGGAATCTTTTAAGTCAAGTAAATCTCATTTTAAGTACATTAAGCTAGTCTTTAAAGTATTTACATACTGATTTTGTGGCTGAACACAATTATCTGAAGCCTTGAGTTGGCCCAACTTCCTACATAGAAAGGACCTCTCCTTTTACACCAATAATATACATGAAAAGGAAAGAACATTTCACACTTCTTACGTCGTTCCTGCTATTATGGAACAATCTCCTACTTTCATTCCACACAAGCCAGAAGAGACATAACAGTGTTGTGCTCCAAATCACATACTTCTCAATGCCGATTTTCTCTAATCTCCAGTTGACATTGTCTCATTGAACATCCATAGCGACAATCAAGATTATTCACCAGAGTAGACCAAGGTCCATAGAAGAGAGGTAAAGCCAGCTATTTGTCTCATCTATTTAAACTTATCCGCTATTTATAATGCATCACAATGCCAAAGAGACTTCCTTCCCTTACCCTCACATGCATCAGGTGCCTAGACTTGCTAGCTACTTCTATAAGACCAGGGATTTGTCCAAGTCTTCTCCCTAATAAGGATTTTCTCAACCTATTATGTGAAGACCTCGTAGGCGAATACCTGAGATATCTTCCTCAAACCTGACTTTTTCGAGGCAGGGCTTCGATCCGTATCTGGCCAACTCCTCGAACTGCTGGGTGCGGCATATTCATGGACTGGCAAAGCGAACTCTCAATTTGAACAGGAGAGCCTAGAGAGCTCTCTATCTTTCCCCAAATTCCGACTAGCGTGCATGCTATTTTTTTTTTTGAAAAACGAACTTATTTTGGTACCCTCATCTTCAAGGCTTTTCCCCAAATCTCCTCTTTCCCTTCCTTCTAATAGCTCTAGGTAGAGTGATTTCACCATGAATGTTGTCATCCGTAATCTCCTTCACATAATCTCTGTCCTCCCTCATTTCCCATATCTGCAGATCTTTTCATAGAAACTCCTCCACTTCATCTCGCTTGCAATCTAGTGAGTCTCCTTCAAACACTCATGTCCCACATAATTCCCTTGTCCTCCATTCTTAACTAATAGGTCACCCTAGCCTTACAATTCTGCATATGCAGCATATATAACAGCTTTGTGTAAGCGTCTTCAGTTTTTCCATCATACCACAAATCCTTTCAAAAGCATACTGTCTCCACTTTCAATAGTGTAGCCAGTACGTAGCGAATCCATCCTTCACTTCAAAATCCCTTCCATAGGCTCACCCCATGCGAAAATGTCATGTCTCCCGAAAGTTATACATTGTTTCAAGCTCTATAAATAAACCAATACCCTTGACCATAGCGCATAGTTTCTTGATTGAATCACGACAACCACCTCTCCAAAAGCATTATGTTGAAGAATGGTAAATTTTGTATTCCTTCACCAGTGGGAACATCTTTTTTCTCTAATCTACCAAATGGAATTTATTACTTCTTTCCTGCAAAAATCTCATGACTTATTCCTTATCTGTTTGCCACATTTGAAGGTATACAAGAATAAAGACATAATACTAGGAAAGTAGAGAATGGACTTCAACAATGTAATTGTTCCTCCCTCGGACAAATACTGATTTTCTACCCATTACGCTTTCTCTCAAACTTCTCAATCATAGGCTGCCATAGTTCATTGCCTTTGAACTTTATCCCCAAGGAAAATCTGCATTTTGTTATCCGATGCGATCCATCTTACACCCACATATTTGTCCTATTCTGTGAATATGGATCCTTTACCTACCTCCCCCACTGGCACCAATTGTGACTTGTGCATGTTAGTACACAATCACGACATGATTTCAGACTAAACAAATGTCTTAAATAGGTATTACAGCTGTTGAATCTCAGGTTCACAAAAGATTAAAGTGTTTATGAACGAATAATAAGTGGGATATGGCAATACCTCTTCTTCCTTTCTCTTCTTGTATTTCTTACATCGGATCCTCTGAGTGTACCCTTCCTTCCACCATCTTCTCCATGAGTTCACTGTAGAGTTCTAGGATGCTTATGTTGAGACCAGCCACATGAAAATAAGGAAAAGGAATTGGCTACTGCGAGTTTTTAGATTACAGGGTCAATCAAGTTAAAAGCTCAAATAAGCCGGAAGAAGAACCTGTAATGGCCTGCTACAAATGACAAAAGGTTTGGGGCCCTTTACACTCTAGCAAGTGAAGTGAAGATACCTGGAACCAGCAGGACAAAGAAAGAATAGAGATTCGATAAGAAACTGCAAGTGGAAGTTGTGTGAGAAATGGCATAGAGCCTCAGAATGTTTTGTCCATTCAATTCTAGCCAGCACTCGAAAGATGCATGAGAACAGAAACATCTCAGAACCATGGAATTCTCGATGAGCAGGTCAGGATAACAGTGTTATTTCAGTTCAAAATCTTATGAGCCATGATTTCGTCAAGTAAAGAAGAAACAAAGTTGTTAGAAAAGCAAATAGAAAGAACAGTTACTAGACTTTTCAAAAGTCTCTTCTAAATAGCAAATTTAGTTTCATTCACCCCAGATGTGCACAGTTCGATACCACAATGATGATATGTACAAATTCATTTCAACAAGGCATCAGAAGTTCTTCATATATAAATCCAGATTGGTGAAAATCAAAATTGTACTGAGTGGAGACTTCGAACCTTGGAATTACTTTCAAGAGGAACCAGGTACTGGCCTACTCAAAAAAAGATGAACCAGGCAATGGCAAATTGTCTCCAACATGCCAATGCGGTCATGCTACACTGACATGGTTAGAGTTCAGACGAGATTTGATTCTATTGAATCGAGGAGCTCTTAAGATATTCCTTTGTTCTGACATCCAGTGGAAGTAAGTTCCAGTTTCTAAAGGCGGAACCCCACCTATATTCATAATGCCAAACCATTTAATCCCAATTTGCTAGAAGACAGCAACATAAATTTTAATACCAACATGCAAATGCAAAAATTTTAAATGCAAGCAATGTGTTGGTAAAAAGAAGAAGATCCTACTCAATCACGGCAGAATCAGCGGCTGGAGAATTAAATCCATACTGGGTAGAGGCAGTTGCGCATTGAGATTGACCTTTGAGTCTTTGATAGTGATAACAATAAGCTGATATCAAATAGAGGACACAAATGATTGAGACTGACCTTCAAGTCTTTGATAGTTATAAAAATTAAGAAGAAGTTGAAGGAGGACAGAAAAGATTAAATGGAGATACTTTAAAGTAAAGAGCACAATAGTAAACAAAATACCATGTAATATTTAGATTTACAGACTACACTTCAATATTTAGCATAATGGCTTTCATTCTCATAAAATAATCAGATTTCACTAAGAAAATGCAAAGATTTCCCCTATACAGGAAGAACTACTACTACCTTTTGATACTTCCACGGAGATACTGAAACACTACTTTAATGAACAAACATTCTTTTTAAAGCTTTTTATTATACAACCAAGCCATTATCAGCTAAAATACTTTAATTTTATGCAAGCAATCATTTCAATCTAAGAGGATAGAAAAAGATACAAATAGATACCAACGGCATCTTAAGACCCATATATGTACTTATGGTTGACCTGAAGAAAATATAAGAGCTTAACATACCTTCAAGATTCAAAACTTCTGATATTAAGATCCCACAGAAAGCCCAATGCTTGGGATAATTCTTGGGAGCAGCTTAACTTGAGGTACTGAATTTGATTCATCGTTGCTAGGAAGAGAAGGTATCTCATTTTCCAAAGTAGAATAAGCATCTGCAAATGCCTACAGAAAGTAACTTTTATGAGAATCGTTATATGCGTCCAACACTCAATGATTATAATTTTTAATGAGAAGCATAATTTGTTCAGTAGCACCTTCAGTCCCAATATAACAAATTGCGACTTAGGAACTAACTTCATTCCATACATCAAAACAAGGTGCAATAAAAATTTAGAGAATAGTAGAATACCAAAAGGTTGTTAGTTTAGGTTATATATTACTAAATGAAAAGCAGCCACTGTCACTTATAAAGAACAGAAAGCTGAACTTTACATATTGAGGGCATGAGAGGATATAATACTTTTCATGTTTAACAAACGCATGCTACAGTTTAATAGAAACATATTCCATGCCATTTCTACCGAGGGTCTATTAGAAAAAGCCTCTCTACCTCCACAGCGTAGTGATAAGATCTGCGTACACACTACACTAGGTATGCTGGTGTTGTATATTCCATGCCATTTCAGAGAAGTACCAAGAGCTTTCTCATGCAAGTCTTTACGTATGCAAATTATCCTCAAATCTAGGGGTGATTGAAGGATATGTCTGGTTAATTCATTAACCAACACGTCCCCAGTCTGCTAGCCAGCTTGGAAGAAATCCTTTGCTTTCAACCTCTTAAGAGATTCAGATACTTTCAACACATGGCATGCTATTGAACTAAAAGGTAAGAAACCTAAAGTATCACGTGTTTTCCATTTTTTATCGACTTGTAAGTTTTCCTAGTTCTTGTAACACCAATATTTTCTCAAAAATTTAATACAAGGCATTCCAACTAACCTTGATGCATTGGTGTATGCGAAAGCAATTCCGCCCCACATTATTGGTTGGGTACAGAGGATCATCAATGCAAATTGGATCAATGCTACAAAAATAAAACCAGGGAATAAAAAGGGAGGGAAAATGAAAAAACAGAAAGAGGTNTCATGAAAAAACAGAAAGAGGTTTGCAACAAACAAAATCAGGAGGTTCAACAATTAGCCATACCTGCATCCTCGTTCTCTATTTATGTATAAGCCGCTTCCCTGTATTGAAACACGCATTTGACGAGGATCAAACACATTCCTGGGGACAAAAAAAAGAAGCTTTACATCCAAGGTTCTATGGTACCCTTTTTGCACCTTTTACTTTTGAGGGGAGCAGGGGTGTCATAGTGGTTGGGACTTCAGATGTATAAGTTAACTACAACGAGTTGGCCACTTGTAAGGAGGGAAACATGAGATAAAAATTAACCAAGGAAATGTGTCTTTTAAGCAGATCAAACTCACCCAAAGAAGTAGAAAAAATCCATCAGGAGGCTCCCCAAGTTCTACAAAATTAGATCAATGAAAGTTACACTCAATAACTCCGATGCATCAGAAGGAAATGAAAACGAAGCTTAACTTCTAATGAAGTGAAAAAGTTAACTTCTTCCATAGAGGCACTACAGCGTTTAACAAGCTTGTCAAGTATAATATTGTAGGGGCACCTATCATATTGCTATGAAGTTGGAAAGGTATGAGCTTATGTGTGAGACTATCAGGTTAAGCCTGCATTGCAGCAGTGCTGTACAAGCATTGAGCAGGAGGAGATTGGATTTTTCTATCTTATGTTGAGTATACTAGCAATCAAGTTTTACATCTTTTGAGAGAAAGATCGGGCTTGTTCTGTCAGGTACAATGTGATGCATTATTTTACAGTTACGCAGGTAAGCCAACAGATCGGCTTGCTCGTACATTCATCTTTCTCTAACATTAATTTCTGAAATAAGACAAAAGCACTGATATGCAATTTTTAAGGAAAGAGATTAAAAATGAGACAACCAGCTCAAAGATGATGAAAACCTCCATGTACTAACTTAGGAAGGTGGTCACTTCCACAAGGCTCTCGTAGTGCATCAGACATGCACTTGTAGTTTCTGCTATTTGAACCTATTGCCCCAAGTTCACAAAAAGGGAACCATGTTGCACCAAAACTCATCCTTATCTCATGCTTACTGGGAGATAACATCTTTAAGAGTGATTTCCAACCTTTCAGTTTCAGTAATGCCATTGTATTTCATTGAAGTTAAAAAGGTCAACCTTTTTACTTAGCTACATGATCTAATTGTTAAAGAGAAAAAAAAACACAAATAGAAAAAATAAAACATGGAATTCACCCGGTCACACTATATCAAATAATTAAACTTTTCAAGCTAAAACCCTCATATGAGAAACTCAGCTGGCTAGGTTGTCCTGATGCTGAGAAATGTCTCTCTCTACTCCGTTCTTAGTTGTTGGTGTTTATCCAGGCAATCATCTTATTATGTTATTCAGCAGGTTCTTCTTTATACTGTGAAAGGTCCTATAAATGTTATCATCACAATATGTGCAACCCAATAATAAAAATATTGGAGACATCATCACAATCTACGTTGAACATGTAATGGGCGTTGAAACTGATGATTTAACCTTAAAAACAGGGGTAAATCGCCAAAAAAATAAACTGAAGAAATTAATAATGGAAGAATTCAATCATACTTGGTCAATTAGTCGACCGTGATGATGTTCATGCTGCAAAAATCGTGTGATCAATAGTACCTATTAAATGGTGTAGACATTTAAGAGCCATTAAAACACATAATAACATAAAGAGAGAATGAAATCAAGGGAGCGAAACACCTAATATAAGGATGCCAAGAATTGGAAGACAAGAACTGAAAAGGCTTAACTATTTCACTTTTGCTTGAAACGAATGTGTGAAAAGTTTTTTAAATAAAAAGTTTTAATAGATAATGGCCACATTCCAGATATTTCCACTTCCCAACAAACCACAAAATTTCTGCTCGAACTTGTGTTAGACTTGGAGACCTCTATCTAATTTCCACCTTTTGCCCCATAATTATAAGGTGCTTGTGTCAAAGAAGTAACAAGTTTTCTGCAGCCTGAATGAAGGACCCAGCTTTTACTTGATGCCTACTTGTCCTGGTCTTCCGCGACAGACTGCTAGAGAATTGAAAAGGAGGAACTGATACGCAATGTGACATCATTCAACAACCGAAAAACAATTAATCAAGATGGGGAACTCTAGGGTAACTCCATTCAGTACTTTGTTCAACATAATCTAGAACTTCATCAAACTGGAAGTTAGCAAAAGTCACTTATCTCTAAATGGATAACATCACAATTTCCATCCCAAATTTATAATTGGATCGTGAGGACATTACATGTAAAATCAAGGTAAGGACATTCCTTGAACGATCTCACTATTAGAATGAGTCAATGTGAGCAGAAATTTACCTTATGCTGGGAAAATAGGAAAAGGAATAGAAACAAGGGAAAATGGTAGTGAAAATAGAGGAGAAGTTAAGCAGAATTATCTTCTTTTATGCTTGGTTTGGGTCGAAAACAAGAATGGAAAGGCAAATAGTTTGGACTTTTCATTGTCACTGATTTAAGTTTTGGGCAAAGAAGAAAAGGATACTCTCTTATTTTAATCCCGTAATTGTTACAGCACCAAAGCAAGAGACCTGAAAACTCTTTAAGCTGTCCCTTTCCTTCTCTTCCTTCCTCTACTTCCAAGCAAACATAAAAATAGCCGGCCAACCTCCATCCTTTGCTTGGTTTGGGTTGAAACAAGAAGACAGAGCAGCGTGGAGGATTGATGTACTTAAGCATAACCAACAGAAGAGCGCTTGAATATGAAGGGAGGTCACAAGTACATAAGCGAAACACTTTTAGGTAAGTTAAAATAATCATTGCTTCCTTCACTTTTAACAGCATACTTCCTTTCAAACTTAAACTGAATTCTCTAGGAAATATTGACGATAGAAAAGCTTACTAGACAATATGAGCTTAAACCGCCTGAATATGACTGGTCAAGACTGCGATCTGCTAGGAACTGTTTTAGCACCAAAGCAAGAGGTGTGGCAGCAGGAAACTGTTCAGTGAGCTCTTTAACCTATCATCGACAAAGGAAAAACGTGATAAGATAGATCTACATCATAACCGGCTGACAGGCTCGAGATAACAAAATATCAAAGTGATGAAGATTAAGAGAATATAGTTCTGAATTTGATCCCACAAGTACTCAGATGCCATCTCTTCAAGACTTACCAGCTCAGTGGTCTGTAATCCTGTATGTGAAGGCGATTTGAAACTAATATCAAGTCGAACTGCTTTTACATCCTTTCTACATTCATTCATCTTGGACCACTGTGGTGAAGATGAGGACTCTGAACAAGTCGAATCAGCCTGAAATACTGCATTGCCTTCTTCTACAATCAACTGAGTTGGCTCTGCTTTTGGTGTTTGTAAATTTGATAGAGACGACAAAATGAGATCATGTGGAACTTCTACCACAAGCATTATAATTGGTATCTGTAGAGAAATGGCAGCAACATAGCATGAAATAACATGACTAAGGAGGTCAAAGAAGGCAAAAGGTGTCATGCTAACATAAAGGAAAAAACTAAGCTGATGAGAACCCAGAAGGAAACGAATTTGGATTGCAGAGACATTACAGCAGTATTTTCCACGATCTTCAGAGAATCATTTTTTACCCACTCCTGGTTAGCCAGATATCTAGCTGCATGCTGCAAAGTTCTCTATGTCAGCAACAAGGAGCTCCATTAAACTAAAGCTATATTTGCATCAAATTGGACAACCAAGGGTGGAACAAATAAAATTTTCTTGTGTAGTTCTTTTTTTTTTCTAATAAAACAATATTCCCTCCATCACGTCTTATTGACACACTTTCCTTTTGTCTGTTCCAAAAAGAATGACATTTCTCCTTGTGGAAACTATTTAATCTTTGCATCCCGATATTACCCTTAATTACTTGTTAGGACTCACTTGATATAAAGGTTCATTCTTTTATGAGGAGATATGCAAGTGAAAAACTTGTGAATTTGATTCCTTACAAATGGCACCCAATTAGATTTATTTTTCTCCCTTGCAGAAAATGAATTACACATTTTTCTTAGGGCAGCTGCCACATTGAGATTTGAGTGGCATCCAAGACCTGTGCCAGCTCTTATATCAACATTGAATTGTGTCCCCATCAATTTCAAAAGCATGAGTTGTTAGCAAGTGGATACCTTTATAAATTTAATTAGGTCTTCACGCGCAAAACAAGGACCATAGCATAAACAATTGTACCAAATACCCAGTGCCAAAATAACTTAGTTTTTCACTAGTTTCAAGTTTTATGCAAAAGTTTGGCCGCAAAGAGAACTCCAGAATTAAATCATACTTAGCAATGTAAAGTCACACCATTTATATTTATTGTACTTGAAATATAGTGGTATCTATCAGTAAGTCGGAGCTAAATTTCAATGTTGAGTACAAGAAATCACTCTACAAGTCTGGGTCTCAATTGTCAATTCACATACAAGTCAGGAAAAGGTTGCTCTTATATTTGGGTTTTTTTTTGGTGGGCGGGTTAATGAGGGGTCATGAGGAAAATATTGGTTATTGATTAATCAGCAAGAAGGTTGATGTTGTAAGAAAAGCTTTAAGTTACAAAAAGATCATCACTTTCAAAGCAAACACAGCATTTCCTCCAACTATTAGAGAAGAATATTCCATGTAATCCTGGATACCTGAAGGCATGTTTCTTTGATCCCATTTCGCCCCTCCAAGATCCCAGCTTCTTTAATTGGTTCCTACGGGGAAAAAAGGAAAGCATATAATGTGCTCCTTTCTCCAAAACTCCTTTTCTCCTTACCCAAAATATATAAAGTAAGAAACATGTTAGCTAAGACATGCTTACCAGATTCCTCACAGGAGGAAGACAAACCACAAGGTCCACATCACTTGATGGGAGTGACAACCCAGTAGCATTTGAACCAAAAATGTTTGTACGAGACCTAGGCCATAATACTTGTAGAGAACGTGCAACACGCTTCACAGCCCAATTAATGTAAGGCTTCCTGATCACATTCTCGGAGGCAACCTTGAGAATCATTATAGATAACCAACAATAAACATCAGGTTATATCTATCTGCCCAAATTTTTTATCCTGAAACTCTGGTTAAATTATTGAAGTGATACTGAAGAAGTTACTACTCTCTTGGGACTGTACCTGTTTGCAGAAGCTCTCGATTTCGTCGTGAAGGCAACTATGGATCACTGAAAGACAGGCCTTCTTTGCAGTACAGTTCAGCATTTCGGTAGGTTGAAGTGGGAATGCAACATCTGGCTGGAAAGAAAAACAAATGGGATTTGAATATTTTCCACCCAGAAAGACAGAAACTTGAGAATAAGGGGAGTTATGAAACTGCAAACCGGATTCTCAGATTTGTATATTTACATGTTCTTGATCGCGAGTTAACTGTGAAATTGCGATAAGGCGATCCTGCAGCAAAGCTCCAGGTAGAGGTTGTGTTAACTGATGGGCTGAGAGACTTTTACTTCTCCAAGCAGGCCAAACTACTTCACTACCATCCATGCGTATACATGCTTCTTCAAAATTAATTCCATCATGGAACCAACCTTTGACACCCCATTGCCTGGGGCTGGAGCTACCAGACCGAACAGTTGGAAAACCTCTGTGCCTTCTAGAATCACTAACTGGAGAAGGAGGAGGTGGACGAGGGGCACGTGGAACACAGAGGACCACAGGCGATGGAGGTCTCTTGATCCTAGGTTGCTCCTTCCTGCTGGGAGGAACACAAGGACTTTTATGATCATGACTTCGCTTAAAATCTGATCTTGATCTCTCCCTAGACATACTGGGAATGACAATGGGTCGTAGAATGGGGTACGGAAGTGAATCCACAGACTTTGCTTCACCATCAGCAGACAAATTGGACAAGGATCCTGAAGCATTCTCTATTGTCACTAGATCTGCTGATGATGAGGACTGTAAAACCTTGCTGGTAATCTCACTTCCTGGTATAACATAACCAAGAGCCTGATGTCCTGAACCTAAAGGATCGAATGGGGAGCAAAAGGAAGCAGCAGATGGAGAAGTCAAACCATTTGTACTGTAAGAAGAAGAGAAGGCAACCATATCATCAACTGCCCTGTTCATATCTGCTTCCCTGCACGCCCATGAGCTATCATCCGAGCTAAGAGAGGGAGGACGTGAAAAATTAGTACCGAGATGATCAGAAGGATTCCAGTACATAACACCACCTCCAAAGTACTGATTATAGTCCACCCCAGGAACAGCATGTACCTCTAACTCTTCTTCAGACATCCAGTGATAATCATGGTCTTCACCCACTTCATGTGAATTTGAAAGATCAGAGAAGTCAATAAAGTCACCAGAATACACCCTTTCATCCTCAGTACTAACCGCATTGCAGTGAATGCTTTGGGCTGCTATATCCTGCTGGAAAGAAGTTCGTCTAGAGATAAACCCAGCATCATAATTGCATGTAACTGATGGAGCTAGTCTATTGATACTGCGAACCATTGGGGGCCAATCTAAACTCATTGACAAAGGTCTAGATATAATTCCAGGGCACCCTGTTTCAATTGAAGAAGTTCTCACATGACGTACATTGCGTAGAAAAGAATGACGAAAATGACTTTGCCAGTTGTGACTGACATCAAGGTGCAGTCTCTCAGTAGCAGGTGGGAGATGTGAATCACTGTATGGAAGATGAATGGGAGCTACACTGGGCCACTCATACGAAACATAAGATGGTGAATTCATAGGCCCTGTATCATAAACATCAACACTTCCTTGCTCCTTTAAAGAGGTAAGTTTTTTGTTGGAATCACTACCTTTAGTTTGTTTCTCAAGAAAATTTGATCTGTTATTCAATGTTTTAAACTCCTTGCAGTTTGAATGAGTGAGCTCAGATTCAATCAAAGGCATTCTAGAAGAACCACCAGAATCGCCATCACTATTGGTAGTTTCCACTGCAACAGCTACCACTCCATTTCCGATCACCCCCTCTGGGGGCAAATGGACTGTCAAACAAGGATTCCTGCAACCTTCAAAAGAACCAGCAGAACCACAATCCCCACCGTTTTGACTCGGAATGCTTATTTCCAGTTCACGTCCCTCATTGTCAACAGAAGAATCTTTTGATGCACTTTGAACAACTGAATCTACAGGGACACAATCAGACCTTGGATCCCCATCTTGGGAGTTGACAGAAACAAAGGACTTTTGAGAATTTCTTTTCTGACATTTACCATCTTCCCCAGAAGTTATCAAGCTACGGTTTTTAGTCTTGTTTCTTTCTTTCCTTTTCTTCCTTGAAGCACTTCTAACAGTTTGACTATCTGGTCCTTCACCATGTCCCTGCAGACAGACAGTCAGTTACAAACTATTTATAACATAAATTGGACATCTGATCCATAATAGAAAGATAATTACAACCATATCAACCAAAGATGGCAGACTCACGTTATCAAGATCCTTCTGTTGTACTCTATCGACCGATCCACTAGGCAAACTACAATGTACATTATCACCACGAAATTTATCTACCAAACCAGTAGACGAACTATTATGCACATTATCACCACACATGGATGCGTCTCCATTATCCTGCATATATTTTAAAAGAAAGTAAAGAACCACATGGTATAGGAATTTTTCTTACTAAAAGGAATTTATATGGAAAGTCCTCAAGATCAGAGTGTACCTCACTATTTTTAACAGGACTTACACCTGTAGTAGATTTTGGCAAAGGATTAAACTTCTTCACTTTATGGTTCTTCCCTTTTTTCTTACGGTTAGAAGCACCATGTATTTCCTTGTTTTGCTTTGGTAAGGAATTCAAGTTTTCGTCCCCAAGCAGCTCATACTTTGTACAGTCAAGAGAAATAATCATGAGTAACCCCCGTAATTTTCTTAATATACTATCAGAAAGAGTATTAACAGATTCTAATGAACTAAAAAATAGTTTTCCACTGTCAGGAGACTCGCCAACAGTACCCGGACATGCCAGCAGCACAGTGGAGACATCCTGAAGCATAAACAAACAATCAAGTAACTGGTTGAATGAACATGAAACTCCAAACATTGATGCATGAAACGTGTTCTGTGGAACTCCTACATCAGACCCTCTGAAATTCACAAAGTTCCTTCGTTTAGACAAAGTAGTGTTACCCAGAGGCTGTTGCAGCGCCGAACTGCATAGGCAAGCTTTATCCGCTGAAACACCTCTTGCCCCCTTCAAAGTATCAGCAATCTGAAAGACATAATTGGAGATTGGACAGCTTAAGCCTGTGTCAAATTCTGAAGAGCACCTGTAAACTATGCAGGAAGAATAGACGACCCTTCCAACAATCAGAAGCTTAAATAGCTAAACTGCTAACATCTCAATCATTTAATTGACTATGTTAGGAAGGATAGGAGTGCTATGAGAAACATACTTAAAAGGATATACCATTAATGTAATAGTTGCCATTTGTGAAAAAAAAAATTTGATTTATGAAAGTATATCAAACCAAAATCAAACATATATAACTGGTATGTTATATAAAATAACTTGCAGCTATAATGCATTATTTTCTAATATTATACATCTTGCCTACGCTGAGCGCTATGCGAACCAGAGATACCACGGTTACAGAGAACAAAATATGGTAGCCAGAGGCGCTGGCCAAGTATGGAAGCAACTTGCAACGAAGGACATGTAGCAGTTCAATAGTTATTGCAGTTCCTCCTTTATTGTCTCAAAAACACTTGAGCAGACGAACTAAGAACTACTTCTGTTAGAAGCATATACATGTGCTGATGCTACTATTACTACTACTTGTACAACAAATCCTTCTACTTCTTCAGCTTTGAGATAATATAAATTGTCCTTTTGACCAAAAAAATACACAGCAAAAAGTAATTTTTTTTTACCCTTGTCAAAAAAAAAAAAAAAAAAAAAAAAAAAAAAAAAAAGCTAATGCTTAGATGTGGTATATAAACCCCTACTCTATTCTATGGAAATACAGAGAAGCATCTTAGTTTTAAAGTTGCATGATTTGATAGTTTTGTTAATTCTTCGGTCACCGCCTGCATTTTATACTCTTTTGCTTTTCCAAATCAAAGAGGGATACCCAGCATTACTTTAAATTTCTTTTTTACATCTCAGCTTATTTCTTGATACAGATCTAACCTACTTGCAAATCTCAGCCTACTTACTGTTCAGATAGATTCTTGCGGACTCTGAAATGCACACTTTCCATTTAACAAGCTATATACTATTCCAAAGTCTATGCCATTATCTCTTTCCTATTAGAGAGGAAAATTCAGCTTTTTGACATCCATGAATGGAAATGCCACCACATATACAAATTCAAACAAATTGTAATCTCACTAAATGAACTCGTAGCACATTGAATACAACAATGTAGCACCAAAGAACAAACAAAGACCAAATTGCTAGGTGAAAAATAAAGGCTCAACATAAAAGTAGTACCAGTGATTTTGCAGCCTTTCCTAAGCCGAGACGAAGAATCTTCACACTCGTTGTCTCATCCAACTTTGCCCACCAATCTACACACCCTTTCTTCCTCCAAAACGCATTGGCTCCTATACCTACAGCATTCACCTTATCTTTCAATTTCACACCTCTCTTCTTCCCATTATTATTATTATTATTCAACCACGCCAATCGTAACGCCACCTCCAACCTATTTGCCATGAAAGCCTCGATACTATAATACCCTTTGGCTTTCAACCACCCCAATTCCACCCATTCTGAGCTCAACCCACCACTTTCTTCCCCCCTCAAAAACATCCCATTTGAAACGCCATCCATTGCATTCGTAAAACTATCCACATTCTCCACAAATTCCTCACTAACAGTCAAAGAATCAACAAAATCCAATAAACCCGAAACCCCATTTTCCCCTCCTTCCCCTTCTTTCGAGCTGAAGAGCCGAACCGAGTGACGAACTCGCCGTTCTGACTCGTTCGACTCAGCAACTCGAGCTAATAACCCGTGAGACTTGCGGAAGCAAATGCTCGGAAGATCACAGCCGTCGGAGGAGGGCATATCGGGTAGGATGATGAAGGAACCATGACCGTTGGATTGGATTTTAGTAAGCATTTGAAGAAGGACTTGGAGGAAATTGGAGTGAACGATTGTGAGATGAGCTTGCCGTTGAGGAATTGAAAGGGAGGAGAACCATTTGAGGATAGAGGATCTAGGGTTAGGATTATGATTGGGAGATGGAGGGGTTTGTGAATTGTAGAGAGAAATGTGGGATGTGAGGGAATCAATTAGCTGCTGTTTTGAACTGTTAATGGATTTTTGAGGAAAAGGGAAATTATAGTTTGATTTGTGCATCATTTTTTCTTTTTTAAAGATGAGTTTTTCTGTGAAGTTTTGTAGTAGTAGTTGCAGCGGTGATCATGGAGAGAGAGAGAGAGAGAGGAAGACGACGACCAGAGCCGAAACAATTGCGGTTCCTGTAAGAGATTTTTCCTTATTTGCTGGCTTTTCTTTTCTTTTTTATATTGAAATTTAAAATAAATTACTCAACTTGACAAGAAGTTAAAGAATTTAACTAAAAATACTTTTAATTTTTTCAAACTAATTCCAATATTTCGAATACGAATGTTTAGTAACTAAACTAGTATTTCAATTACTATAATATTCCGTACTTATTATAGCCAAAGTCCAAACGACGAAATTTTTTAATTTTTTTGCTTAATTACGTGAAAGATAGAACATAACTTAAATGAAAAATTAATGAATGATAGTTGAAAGTTTATTATAGTTGACTTTTTTTTATAACATTGATGGCTAGACCAACTTGTATTTTTCTAGTTTTATTTATAGGTAGTCTATTATAGTCCACCAGCACAGAGCCAAATAAATAATTTTTCAATTCACATATAAATTTGTATATTACTAAAAAAATAAAAAATCACATAGAAACATATGAGTTCACACTGTGTTGAAGTTAACATTCAAATTCAAAATCTTGACGTTGTTACTCTTGTGACCAAATCACTTAGTCATCCCCTTAGGCCTTAAGGCAATGTAACGAAAAAAGTCAAAAGATATAATATTACAGTATTATTTTACGTCATGAAATTATAAATGAAATTCAATTTATAAAAAAAAAAAAAGCGAGATTATGCACAATATAATATATATATTTTACATGACAAATATATTAGAACATAGGTAACTAAAAGGAATGTAATAAAATTGGGATTGAGGGGATAATAGGTAACAGCTAGGCATTTATAAGTGTTTGGAAAATACTTGGTTGAGACCGAAGGAAAAATGAATATTTGAAGTTAAAGTTGGAGAGATGGTAGTTGAAAGTTTATATTGTATTTAAATATAAATTCTACTTGAAAAAGAAATTGAAGATCTATGGTTGAAAATCATTTATTTCACGTCAAATACTCATCAAATAAGTTTTTCAACATTTCAACAGTATTTTAAATAAGTTTATTCGCAGAATATACAACAACTTTGTCCTTGAAATCTCCATTGAGAAATACAGATTACTCCCTCATTTCGGATAACTATCATCTACGTCCATCGTATCAACTAGATGGAAGACTGCTTTAGTTCATGAGATAAACCTCCAATGACTTGTGGTAAATACGGTATGTATTTACCGTACCGTATTGTAGCTTCTCTATGTCCTAGAGTTGGACCATTTGCCTAATCTCAAAATCCTTGATTCAGAAGACTGCCAATCTGATTCTGACGAGTGTTACCATAAGGAACTGCTAATTGGATTTCCCTCACAGGATTTGCACTCTTATATACTGTTTGGGCCAAAAGCGCTTTTTCCAAAATATTGAGGTGTTCGGCTAAGTTTTCGGAGGAAAAAAAGTGATTTTGAAAAGAATAGTTTCTTTCCAAAGCACTTTTGAGAAAAATACACTTAGAAACTGTTTTTAAAAGTTTGGCCAAACACTAATTGCTGCTCATAATTATTGTTCAACTTAATTAGCCAAACACAAACTGTTTCTCACCAAAAGTACTTTTGAGAAAAATCACATCTCAAAATAAGCTGATTTTTGCAGCTTGGCCAAACAGGCTATTAGCCTGAACAGAGGCAGACCTATGTGGTGAGGTGAGGGGTCACGCGACCCCGTTAGTCTCGGTAAAAATCATGTATATACATATTATATATATCTATACATATATATGGGACCCCTTAAATATTTTAAGTGTACCCTCAGAAACAAAGAGACGGATGGAAGAAGTGGTTGCCTTGGGGCCTTAAATTCACAACTTTGTTGAAGACATATGTTCGAAACCCTTTTGGCCCTTTAGCTTTTTTTTCCTCCTTTCTATTTTTATTCTTTAAGTACAATATAATTTATATTTAATAGCAAATTGCTTTATCTTTTACTTTTATCTCTTCTTTTTTTGAATTCAATTATAATTTAGTACTAATATATAATAGTTAACTTAATTAATATTTTAGTTCTTTGATTACAATATAATTTATATTTAATAGCAATTTTTTTATTTCATTTATAGTCTAGTACTAATACAAAATAGTCAACTTAATTAATTTTAATCTTTCTCTTCCCATAGCACCCATTTTGCGAAGAAATCTCTTTTTCTCTCTCTCATTCATATATATATATATATATGTGTGTGTGTGTGTGTGTGTGTGTGTTCGGTGTTTTTTTCTTCTTCTTTAGAATTTTATCGCTGGTGATTAGCATACAGTGGTGCCCTCGTCCGCTCAAATCCTGGGTCCGCCTCTGAGTCTGAAACCATGTTAGATTTTCCTATGGTTTTGATGTAGTTTGATCACATCCCTACAATGTATGTCTCGACATGAAGTGCTTCTTGTTTCACTGTAACAGCTGCAAGGAATCAATGGAAAAAAAGGAGTTGCACTCACGAATATGGCATATCGTTAATAAAGTATGTGAAAATCATAGGAGATCAAAATTCAGATCCAGACAGTCGGCAGAGACAACAAAACAAACGCTTGGTGATTTTTTTTCCAAACCTAACCATTGGTGGATAGAGTTACTAATATGTGTGGAATACCGTGGTAATCGATAAAAAGAAAAAGAAATAAGAGTAACTGGCATTTGACAAAGTAGTCATGCATAGCAAGTGTTACCTGTTTAACCAAAAAATAGAATTTCAGTCAAAACTAGAATTTAGAAGAACACGGGTTACTGATAATCAAAAGAATATGCAAAGGAAAGTAATTTGAAGTAATTAGAATGTAATCAAGAGAAAAACAAGTAAATCAAAGTATATTCTGATGATATCCATTGTTCCTACAATTGATAAGATGTCTCCTTTTTATAGGTATCTTAAAGATATGTGTTTTCCCCAAATCATAATGATGCTATTATGAATAATTAAAGACATTGAATGCTACGTTACATAATCATTATAATCAATACAAATTCCTTAACATATCCAGTATTTAATGCCTGTCAAATTCTGTATCTGTGCTCTTTACTATGGTCAGATCCATTCTTTTTTATTCTTGGATATAAATGACTTAAACAGGTACGGCCACCCGTGCCTCTTCCTTTGTCCTTGCTTATTTCTATTGTTGCTCGTGCCTCTTGATTAATTGTAATTCTTTGACTATTTGACCAGTCCACGTGTCTCGATACGTCATCCTTATATAAATGTAATTTTTTCCAATACAGATAGTCCCCCCACTTTCCATTTATTCATCAGTTGAGTATTTGGGAAGTGGATTTCATTAAAACGAGAATTTTTGACACCATTAATGTTATGACAAAATTGACGCTTCAATTGTCACTTCTATTTAATACTCCGTACACGTATCAATTTTTCATTGGTTCTGCAGTTTTTGCAGCCTCTTTCAAGGTTTTTATGGTTCCACTATTTACGAAGTGCCAGTTATCATAATTGTGATCCTTCCTTCACTGCATTTTACCTTTGGCGGTCGATTATCAATATAAGTATAACTTCTTCCCTTGTCTTTTACCTCATAAAGTTTTACTGAACATTTAATTTCCCCATTCTCTGTTTACTTCTTCTTTACATCATTCCTCTTCGCTATGTCTTCACCAAACCCCCACCCTCGAGAAGTCTCCATTGTTGATTCTTTCCCCAATGCCCCTGTTAGGCATAGAAGGGGAGGTAGACTTCGTAGCTTAGGATCTACTCGAGGTGGTTCGTCTATGCCTTCTTCTAGCTCTAGTCCCTCTTCTAGAACCAGAGGTTCCCTTTCTCACAAATCTTCTTCTAGGAGTAAAGAACCTTCTGAACCATTACGCGAACCTTTAGTAGAAGAGATAGTCCCTACAGAATTATCTTTTTACCACGATAGGGAATCTCTTAGAAACCAGACTGTCACTTTAGATCGTGTCGATACTTACCCCACTCAAATTACTGAAGTTTTGACTCCTGTGGTTCGTAATGACTGTCATTGGAATAACGATTTTCCCATTATTATCCCTAATCCGAATCAGAGGATAACTTCTTACTTAACTGGGTTTTCTTTTGTTTACACATACCCATTTACTTTAGGGTTTAGACCAGTGATTGACCCAGTCATTCTCGAATTTTGCCGTTTCTTCAACGTCTGTTTGGGCCAAATTGGTCCGATCGTATGGAGGTTTGTTGCCTGTTTAAGGCATTTAGCCACTAAAGCCGATGTTCCTTTTACTTTCCCTCACTTGATTCATCTTTACTCACCTAGGTTTTTTCGCAATGGTGTTTTTACACTAGTAGCCATGAGTAAGAGGGTTTTGGTGAGCCCCGAAGATGACAAAGACCGCGGCTGGTATGCCCGATTTGTTGCTGCCCCCACTGTTGGTTTAGTGGGTGAGGATAATGTTCCCTTCCCTGAGAAGTGGAATTTTGCACGTAAGTCTTTTAGCCTTCTCGTACCTTTTTCTTCAAGTTTGCCAACTTCTCTAATTTTGCCTTTGTTGTTTTTTTAGCTACCATGGGAGTTGTGGGGGATGTTCCCTTGGGTAGATAAATTGCTGAAGATCGCACCGATGGACGGTAGGTCTTGGAAACACTTTCTAACCGTTTTGGTTGGAAGGTAAAGACTCATGGTAAGAATTTATATTTTGCGCCTTTCGTATCTATATTCTCTTTTGTTGCTCTAATTTCTATCTCTCTTTTTTTCCCGTCAGGATTTGCTATTCGAGGAGTTACTGCTGAAGCAGTTGCGGCTTCTCGTGTTTCCTCGGGAACCCGTACTCCTTCAGGAACCCGTATCTCTCTAGAAAGAGCCCGGGAAATAGTTTTGGGTTCTTCTTCTGCAAAAAGGAAAGCTGCAGAAGAGGAAGACTCTGAAGATGAGGGAGATGAGGGCTCCCTGGTAACAAGGCCTCGAGTTAGGAGACACATCGTACCTGATGACGAAGCTGAAGTGTCGGTTTCTCTTACCGAACCCGTTGAAACTCCAATAGTAATTCCTGACGATGACGTCACTCCCCACGATACTCGTGAGTCTATTGACCAACTTTTCATTAGCGGAT